ACTTATAGACAACCAAATCTTACAGCTTGTGAGTGCCAGCTCAGTATTACTGAAATCAGCATTGCATCCACAGTTTGCCAGTGTACAAGAGTAGGTGCTTAACTGTTCTACTTCCCCCAAATCTTACTTCAAGGCACTGTTTCCTGCTTGTGAAGCCAGTCCTATTCCTTCACCACAGAGGTTGATTTCAGAAATAATAATCTTTACTAAAATACATCATGTTCTTCCAAGTCCCCTCTGTCTTAGAAAATACACGTGAAATAATTAGAAAATAGATTTCTGCTTTTCAGTTCAATAAGCAGGTTTAATTATGTATCTCTGCTAAAAAGTGACCCCATTGAAAGAGATGCAAGATGGAAAAGCACAACACTCAAAAACTTGCATTTCCTTGTAAAGCAAGGATGATTTTCTAAACCCTGCATCCCAAGCCAAACCTTGCATCCAAAAGTTCAACCCTGTTCTCTCCCATCTGCATGTCTCCACATGTCATAGGGATTCAGCAGTCCAAACAGTGCCATTATTATCTTCAAGTTTTGACTTTGCTGGTACCTGAGTGCAGGTATAAATGGGAAATGTTGCAATTATCTGGAAGTATGTTATCTTTCTAGTGGATCATGTGAGCTGAAATAAACTGCAGCTCATTCTCACACTGCTGATTAAACAGACGAAGACTGAATTGAAATGTGTCCCTGTGGTGGACATGCTCCTCGCCACAGACATTGCATCATTTCAGTGAGACGATGCCATTTTTAAAAATTTCACTTCTTCCCTTTAATGCAATAACTATTGAGCTTTAAAGATGGTTTTATTATTTTGATCCAGAAATGCGTACATGTTAAGTCCCCTTCAGAGAACTGGCTGTAATCTTTAGATCACTTATCAAAAGTGTAATACAATCTGACACAATAGTAAATTACCACTTTAGATTTCAACTTCATCATCCCTGAAAGTCTAATGGTGTTCATTGCATACCACTCCCCCAAAATATTAAATAAAAAAAAGCACTGAGATGTGTTTAAAGAGCATCTCTGTCACACTGATAACTGGTTCACATATTATCAGTAAAGATGGTTTTTATTGCAGTAAAAAGGATACTCCGACATTGGAAAAAAAAGTTAGGAGCATAGTTCATATGGAATTTTTTTCCCCTCTACAGCCATCTCTCACACTTAAAATAGCAGAGTCTGTGAGATAACTGTCTGGGTTCAGGTAATATACATGGAATTGTACATGAAAAATGAAAAATATTACTTCAAGTTGCTGAAATCTTTAATGTGAGATTAACAAAGTTGATACATTAAAAGTAAATTAATTTTTAATTGAGTAAAAAGTAAATTTACTTTTAATTGAGATTAAAAGTAAATACATTTCCCTTTTTGTCTGTTGCCGAAATGAATATTTCCTGTCAGTGCATCCAACAGTGTATTGTAAAACACAAGGCAAACCAGGGCAGCCTTACTGAAGGCTACTCTGAAGACCCTTTTTGTCAGTCCTTTATTTTAAGATTATTATTTCTAAGGAAACATGCACCATAGGTGTTTAATATTTAACAGGTTACCTCTTAAGAGGAAAAGCAAGGAAAAAAAAAGGTATATTCCATGACACTTTCACCCACTCATAAAAGCTTGAAATCATAAGCACATGAAAGTCAAGCAAAGCCAAACCAGTATTTCATATAGCCTGAGACTTACACTAAAACATACACAACATTCTTTACTGGTAAAGGAAAAAAATGTACTTAGAAACATCAAAACTAACACCTATACTTTACCATACAATGGAATAATTGTCTTTAGCTGTAAAGTGTCTTGGTTCTACCACACAGGTCTAGAACAGACTACCAGGAAACACAGAAGTCCTAATGGGTGTTCCTTTGCTTCTAGAATAAATCAGTGCCCGTTTCACACTCCTAACCTAAATGTAATAGGAGGCATTACAGATGATTAAAACCCATTTCTAACTGGAAAAAGGCACCTACATAACCAAACACTGAGGTTATTTTGTCTGTGATCTTATTTTGCTTCAATATAAAGGCAGTAATTGAATTTATCTTTAAGTTTAAAAGGTTGAAAAGCCATTTAAAATGACATGACAGTAGAAAATGAAAGAACTGACAGGATAAATATGCACATCTATTTCCAAAACTTCAAAATTTATAAAAGTTTCTTGGGTATCACCAAAGTTATGATGAGTTCATACACACAATATACACACTGATCTTTTTCCATGTGCTTTATCAGGGCTTCTATGTCGTGATTGGCTTTAAAAATAATTTTTCAGACTGTATTACATTTTCCAAGTGCTGGTCTTACTTGATGAAGTTTAGTAAGAATCCTTAAAGAATTTGGGTATTACTAATGAGTGAAAGGGGAATCAGGTCTGCATTACACCTTTGGAATGTCACCATAAGATCCAAATTGTTTATTGACACCCACAGTCCCAAATTATTTCAAAGTGAAATCCCGAAACTGTTTAATGGTTATCTTGTGATCCACATAACGTTTTACTTGTTCAAAAACTTGGACTGCTCTGAGGGCCCAAAGCACTTCATCTCACTTGCAGACTGGTGTGGGACATCAAAGCTCTAAGAACTTCTTTCTAATAAATCCCATGGATACAGCTGCTTTTTGGGAAGGGGAAAAAGAAGGGAGGCAAAACGTAGTCATCTTTTAAATGAAGCCACTACCATCTACACAGTTGCTACCTATTAGACATACAAATTCTTCAGCTTTCTAGACATTTCTTCTGATCTCTGTCGTGGAGAACTTCCCAGTGAAGATGCAAAATGCAAATGGATTGATAACTGAAGCCCTGCACACATTTTTGCCGCATGTCCAAAATGTACATGAAGATTTTACACTATGACCAGTTGAGGTCATTTCCAGACATCTCACACAACAAGAAAGGAACAGCCACACTTCTTCCACCTACCTGTTCCGGTGGACACAATTCTTCCATATTGTACAATGATAAGGAAAAGTATTTCAAGTGGAGTAACAAAGAAAGGAAGTGTTTCAGAGGCTTTGAACCACAGTACCGAAAATTCATTCCCCATGCAAATGCCTGCAAAGAGGCTGGGCCTAACACTGCCAGCAAACTGGGCTGTTGGTCTGCTCCCTCACAGAACACACCAGATGACCACTCCAGCAATCTCACTTGGATGTCACACGGTGACACTGCCCACATCCAGCTACCAAATGTCATCATCTTACAACACAAGGATCATAAAACAGCAGAATTTTTTAAGGATGAGTCAGAGCTAAATCAGCATGGCTACCATTAGCCTACGACATACTAGCTTTGTTTCTTTCTAGAACTAATCCAAATGTCTAAAGACAACTCAGACAACACCAAACAAAGGTCTTCTATGCATCCCAGAAACTACTAATCCTAAAATTGTATCGCTAACTTTCTTGGTTCAAAGTTGTTCTTCATGGAACTCCCACTGGCTATTCCGGACTCACAACAGCAATACAGCTGACATACAATATCCTTAAAATTACGAAGTTAAATGACAGATACTGCAAAATGGTGGGGGGGGAGGTCAGTGACACTATTCAGATCATCATATACTTCCGATAATTTAACACCACATAGAAGTGTTTAAGTGCTGCTCACTTCAGAGGAGGTTTGTGTCACACACAGTAAAATGCCATCGTAATAGAGCAATGTCACCCCTTAGCTGTGACCTCTGCTAAAGACTTTGAAAGACAACAACAAAGTGAAAACTGTCTACGTGAAACCTGTCAGATCTTGCAATTGCACTGAAGACCCTACAGCTGATCATCAAGATCATCAAACGGTGAAGAAGTCCAATCATGTCCAACCAACCACAGCAGCAGTTCCACACCCAAGCACACCCTCATGGCTGAGCAGTACCTATCACCGGCACACAGCTCCAACTGGCAGGTGATGGTTTCTGCCCTAGCTCTTAAATTCTGCACTCCAGAGAGCCTCGATGCAAACAGCCATTTCACCAGGAAATGTGGAGCCTGAGGAGGTGCTCCAGACCAAGAAGTGTAGGACATCCAGTCATGTTTGGTGCTTTTAACACTTCCACCCTGGTTCCACTCACTGGAACTGGATATTTCTCAAACACCCATGTCCAGTGTGTCTTATTTTTCATTTCAGCTTTCTCCCTTCTTCTCTGGCGTGGCAAGAGTGGCTAGACTCGTTCTCAGTTGGGGCATTGGAACTGGGCGCCGGAGGTCAAAATTCGGCTGGGTTTCGCCCACTGCCCGCCGGTTCCTTTTCCCCCGCCTGCCTCGGACCCGGCGGCCGTCGCCTGATGCTGCCCCGCCGCTGTCGCGGCCGCCACGGCCGGGGGGCAGCGCACGCCGGGCTGCGGGGCCGGGGGCCGCCGCCCGCCCCACCTCGCACCCCGGGCCGCCCGGAGCGGGGCCCCCGCCAAACTTTGCGGCCCGCGGGGAGCCGGGGCCCGGCCCGGCCGCCGCCCCCGCCACCCCCGCAGCACCCCGGGCAGGAGGTGAAGCAACCTGGCGCCGGCTCCTGCACTTTGCACAGCGGGCGCAGAGCCGCCTCCATCCCTGCGCCTCCCGGCAGCGCTAAGGCGCATTTTTTCGCACTAATCTGCACATTCAGCACGTCCAGAGCGCCTATGACTTTACCTGGACTTTCTCCACTCTCCGGGCTCATCACACCGCGATCGCCTCCCCATCCTACCGCTAACTCTCGCTCTCCTTCACTCCTTCCTCCTTCCCTCTTGTAAGGCCTGCTAAGATCAAGCCCGATGGAAAGTAGAGAGAGAAAGAGAAAGAGAGAGGCAGCGGGAAGGGAGGGGAGCCGCTCCATCCCTCCCTGCCTCCCCGGGCACACACGCCAGCCCTTTTCCCCCCACCCCAGCCCTTCCCTCGGCGATTTCCTCCGCTCTTCGGCAACTACGAGGGCTCGGCGGAGCGGCTCCGAACGCGCCTCCGCTGCCCTCGGCGGCGCCCCGGCCGGCGCCCCCCCGCCGCCCGCCCGCCCCGCGGCCCCGGTACCTCGTAAAGGTCCCCCGAAGCCATGCTGGGGTGCGGGACTGGGCTCCTCCGCGCCGTCTCCCTCTCTCCACCTCTCCCGCTCCCCCACTCGCTCTCTCTGTTGAGTAAACTGTGTTTTGCAGAATGACAGGCTTTGGGGCTGGCTGTGCGCAGAATCAGAGGCGAGGAGAGCGGAGAGGCAGGCGGCGGGGCTGGCGTAACCAGCAGCAGCAGCAGCGGCAGCTCGGGCGCACAGCGCCGGGAGCCGCGTCTCCCCCGCGGCGGCGGGGCCGGCGCCCCCCGCCCTCTCCTCACACCCCGCCCGCCGCCGCCGCCTCACGCCCCGGGCGGGGACCGGGACCGGGACGGGTCCCCCCCGCGCCCTCCCTCCGGGAAAGTCCCCGGGCCGTTCTGACGGCGGCCTCCTCTCCCTCCTCCTCCCTCCGCCCCCCCCGCCTCAAACTCTTTCCGCGGCCAAAATAAATAAATAAAAAATAATAATTAAAAAAAAAAAAGAAAAAGAAATAGAGGGGCGGGCTGGAGGGGTGGGTGCCGGAGCGGGCGCGCTCGGCGGGGAGGGCCGCGCCGCCCGCCCAAGGTCACCACGGGGAGAGGCGGGCGCGGGGCCTCGGGCGGCCCTGCTGGCACCTTCCGCCTCCCCGGCGCCGCGTGGCCGCCCCGCCGCCCATGGCCATCGCCGAGGGAGCCGAGCTGGCGGGAGCGCCCGAGGAGCGGCGGCCCGGGCAGCGCGGCGGGCTCGGGGGCACCTCTCGCCCCCCTCCCCGCCGGGCACGGCAGTGCTTCCTCTCCCGCTGTCCCCAAGCCATTTTGCAGGTTCGCCAGCCCACTCGGGGATATGAAAGCCAGCGGCACCCCGCCACCTGCTCTTCACGTGGAGGCGGTGGCCGGAATTTTGAAGCGGCTGGGGGATGCGCGGCGACACGCAGCCATCGGCCGTCGCCACTTTAGAGCCGTCCGTGTCGTTTCTTGGAGGAAAAATGCCGCCCTATGGCTGCTGGCGTCCCCACGGTGCTTACCTGGGAGATGGGGAACGTGTGAAGGGGATGCCGAGTGAGCCTTGACTCCCCAGCGGCCTTCGCCCCATCACTGCAGAGCCTGAGGAGCTTCTCCCACAGGAGCCCGGCCGTGAGGGACCCGAGTCCGGACACATTCAAGAGCGGTGTGGATGCAATCCCGTGCCGGGTTCTCTAGGATGACCCTAGAGCAGGGTGGTTGGACAGAATGACCTGCTACGGTCCCTTCCACCATGACTGATGCTGTAACTGGTGGTTCTGTGAAGAGGAATGAGCTCATGGTGAAAGAAGCCGCACTTTGCAGCAGTGGTGGACTCCAGGGGAGGCAGGAGCCGGGGTGTGGCAAAAAGCCCTGAGTCGAAGCCGGGGCTACCCAAAAGGTAAGGGCTGCTCCCCTTGGAGGCTGATCAGCACCACGTCCTGTTCCTGCGGCTCCGGGCTGCGGAGGATGTGCTTCTCCAGGAAAAGTGTTGAGTGTTCTCTCGGTATTTTATTTATTCCTAAATAAAATAGGAAGGAACACCATGAGAGCGTTCTCTGACCAGCTGTTCACACCTTGGCTCTGTAGCCAGCCAGCTCTAGTTGTTACTGAGTTTCAGACTCACTGCTCTCGCCTCACAGCAGACCTGTTGCAGGCATTCCCTTTTACCTGGGATCAGTGATGAATGTTGTATGGTCTGGCTTTGCCATAGGTGTGGTTTTTGTTCATCTTCTTGTATTTGTTGTTTTTTCCTTCTTGATTTTCCATGTGAATGTGAGAATTGGCACTGCTCAGAGCACAGGTTGGAGGGGGTTATTGAATGTGATAATCGTTAATAAAAGTTGCTGGTATTGAGCACTGAATTATTTCCAAAATTTGATTTATGGCCAAAAAATCCTGCTATAGTTCAAGTGGTGTGAAGCCAAAGACTCTTCTGGCTGAGAAGATTCCTTTTTAAAATATCAATATTAGGTATTTTGAACATTGTCACTTTTTATCATGAAAGTAGGAAATCATGCATGCACATCCAGCTCTTGCTTGACCCTATCTCCTGAACTGTGAATATTACCTCTGGTGATTATGAACTTGCCAGCTAACCAGTTTAGTATTGACTGAGGGTTCAATAAAAGCTATCTAATGGTAGTTTGGAGCTCAAAGACGTTTATGGTTTGTGTGGTCTACAGAGGCGGGTGATGATGTTGGACTCCTAAGGACAAGACATTCTGCTCAGATGAAACTATTTCTTTTTTACCTGACTGTGGTAACCAGAGACTTGTCCTCTGGTTTCCAATTTGCCAGCAGTATTTGGATTGTTGGGATTTGGTATTTGAAGAGTAAAATGTTGAAAAGATAAAGAAATACTGTAAACTACCCATGTGTAGTAATTCCAATAATTAATGCAGCAAATACTTAATTGCCAAGCAGTGCATTACTCAATATCCACACCCCATGGTTTCTTCTTGATAAAGAAATTATTTTGTTTCATTGTAAAGTGATGTTTATTGTTTACAGTAGCAAATCAGCTCATTGAGCCAAATATAATAATATATCCACCAATAAGTAGGTGTTTTAATACACCTCTTCAATCTGCTTTATTACAGCTACATTTTGCAGCTTTCCACAGCAGTAAACAAAATGGCAGTCAGAGCTGGTGAGTAATTTTTCAGATGCATACTAAAATATTTGTTCTCTGAAACTTTTGGCTTCTTTCATAGTATCAACTCTTCCCAAAAGTCTCTTGAATGAATTTTAACAAGTCCCTTTCTTAGCTGTAGAAGATAAGTCTTTTATTTTGAAACAGGTCTAATATTTTAGTCATTTAATATTAGGTCTAATATTTTAGACTGTACAATTTCATTTACACTGTACAGTGTTTACAGTAACATTGTCAATATTGTTGGTGTGTGATTTACAACCCAAACAAATAGTAGCTTGGAAGTTTTGAAAGGATGAATGCTTTAGTGAATACTTTGAAGAGGGGAAACATCTTTTTCCTGATTACTCACTCCTCATTTCAGAGGGCACAGTCCCTTGGGATATGGTGGTTTGTGAGTCAATAGTGAGGAGCATAAAGAGAACTTTTGCCATTGTCAAACCCAGGAAAAGTTGGTTATGGTTTTGGTGTTTCCCTGTGAGTGAGCAGAAGACAAAGTTTTAAGTTTTAAAAAATTCAAGTGACCTTCATTTGTCCAGCAGGTCTTTATTGTAACTAGACAGGGCAGGCAGTGTTCCTCTCAGTCTTGTGTAAAAAATAGAAATGCTTAAATTTATGATAATTTTTTAGGGTTTCTGATAATAGACTTTCTGGAAATACATATTTTCCAATTTTATTTGCCTTTCAATGGTAATATCTATGAAATGAAATTGCAGCAAAATCCAGATTGTTGTACAAATTTCAAGCTCTAAACTTAATGGTTTTGCTAAGTATGTGATTATTCATTACTCTTATTGTTTTGCTGCCTTCTCCTATTTCCCACCCCGAGAGAGTAATGCAGGCAAGGGAGGCATTCCAAGCAAGATACATCACATTTGAACACTTTTTTGGATTTGATGGATGCTCTGGTTTCCACTACTTTATTTGAAGGAATTATCTCTCAGTCTGATTAAACTTTTAAAAAAAAAAAGTATTCTATTCCAAAAAGCAAAAATACTGCTGTCATAGCTGGACTATTGATTTGTTATTGACTATTTAGTCAATCAGTCCAGGGCTATAGACTGTACACTGTGCCAGTGTACAGTCACTGACACAGTTCCCCCAAGGAGTGCAGATAAGTATTTGCAAACACCTTGTACAAAAAATTGCCATGAAGGGGCTGTGTTGGCTCTTGAATAGGAGCAGGAATGATGGGCAAGAATAATTAATAAATGGAGAAATTGAGAGAATTTCTGCGCTAAGGTATGAAAATTATATTAGAGAATAGGGGAAAACAAGGCATGAGTGAAGAATAAGGGACCAAAGGCAAATGTAAGGAGAAGGCTGTGCAAAGCCTTGGTTGTGTGAAAAAATGGGGGAGGCAAAGGAATATTTTAGCAGCAGTAACTGAAGCAAAAGCAGGGAACAAGGTAGCAAGATGTCTATCGCCAGCCTTAGAAGGGAGGATGATCAGAACAGGGAAAAAGTCGGTGAGTGAAAATGAAAAAAGTGTCTCAGTGGTTTCACAGAGTAGCAGATGACAGGAAACGGTGAGCAGCTACTGCAGGAAAAGCAGAATTGCCTATGGCACCACTGTCCTGGATGGGAGATAGGCAGGACCAGGGATTCCCCAGGGCTTGGGGCTGAGGTGGCTCCATACTCACCAGGTAGGTGTGAGGAAGCACTAGGATACCACAGGAAGCTTATCACAAAAATTATCCAAGGTGTGAAGTGGAAAAGGAAATGCAAAACAAGAGGAGGGTGTCCTTGGCATACAGAGAGCATCTAAAAATTAGAAATAAGATGAATGTGAGAAAATTAAGAAAGCAGAATGTTTTTTTAATAATTGATTTGCATTGTTTTGTGATGAGAACTAGGCTTGGGAAAAGCCCCATGTACTTTGCCTTGTGCCATGCTGCCTTTGGAAGCAAACAAGTAGTTATGATCATTTGATTCTGATGCTAAATTAATATCTTCCTCCAAACCCTTCTTTGGATCTTATAAGGTGCAATTACTTATCATCTAGAGGAAACATTTGAAATAGGAGCTGAAATACCACAGTATAATGAAACAAACAGTAATATATGGAAAACAAAGTAATGTTTATTTGTTGCAGTACATCATATACCATGGGACAGAACGTTTCTAGGGTTGATAGTACATTTTAATGGCTGCTGTTCTGAAAATTGACTTTGCTTCTTTCAACTTTATGAGTCTATTCTGTTCTCTTTAGTATGGCCAATACCATTGTGCCTTAACTGGGGAAGGGGGAAAAAAACTTTGTCCAAGGATAAAATTTTGATAACTTTGTCTTTCTCTGAACACATTGAGTACCTCCCAATATGGCACCAAAAATAGAATCTTTGCACACTCTTCTCCCTCTTGTTTGCAAATGCCTTTTTTCCCACTTGACATGTCGTCAGAGATAATAAGAAGGTGCCAAAACATTCTTGTTGGACAGTTTGCTGACTTTCCAACTAAGGTGAAAAAAAAAAGACAAAGTGTAGATCATGTATGTAGAAGTCAGTCTCATTTGGGAGCTCTTGTGTACACAGAACCTTCAAAATTGCAGCTGATTTAGGAAATCATGATGTACATCTAACAGGTGCAAATGGCACACGTTGTTTTCCTATATTCCTCTATGT